CTGATGCCATAGCAGCAGTGAAGAGGCCAAGGCCACCCAGCCTTAGCCGGTCTAGTCAACACTGTCCTGTGGCTCAAGCCAGTGACGACAGAAAACAAAGCAAAAGCCACAAGGTTAGAAAGAGGAGTGATCGTGCCTCTGTACACACGGCATGGCTGTTCACATGGAAAATCCTAGGAAATCTTAAAAACCTACTATAATTTGTAGGTGAGGTCAGCAATGTTGCAAGAATATAAAGTCAATATGCAAAAGGCACTGTCATTTCTGTATACTAGCAACATGTAATTGGAAAGTGAAACTTAAATATCATTTACAATGGCACTCAAAACAGTCTGTTTGTGGGGATAAACTTAATAAAAGATGTGTGAGACCTGGACACAGAGAAAGATAAAACTGCTGAGACTTGTTCAAGGTCCACATAATGGAAAGACATACAATACTGGTACATATGTATCAACATGAACACACACACATATATGTGTGTATCTCCATTCATCCATGTGAATGGATTAGAGGACTCAATATTACTAAGATTGATTTCTCCCCAGATTGACCCAGTATTTAAGATAATCACAATCAAAATTACAGCAGGTTTTTTTTTTTTTTGAGGAACTGACAACCTGATTCTGAAATGTATATGAAAATACAAAGAACCTAGAATAGCCAGAGCAATTTTAAAAAAAAGAACAAGTGGGACTTCCCTGGTGGTCCAGTGGTTAAGACTCCAAGCTTCCAATGCAGGGGGTGCAGGTTCAATCCCTGGTCGGGGCACTAGGACCCCACATGCCACGGGGTGCAGCCAAAAAGTAAAAAAAAATTAAATTAAAAAGAATTAAAAAGAATAAAAGCACAAGCATGGAGGACTTACACTGCTGTACCTGAAGACTTACTATAAAGTCACAAGACAGTGTGGATTGATGAACAGATAGACCAACGTAACAGAATAGAGAACCCAGAAATAGATCCTCACAAACACAGTCAAATGATTTTTGATAAGATGCCAAAGCAATTCAATGGAGAAAAGAAAGTTTTTTTCAAGAAATGGTGCTGGGACAGCTGGTTACTTACATGGAATAAAAAGTGAAACTACTAGACTCACATCACATGAAAAATTAATTAGAGATGGCTCACAGAGCTAAACACAAAACTGAATCTATAAACCTTCTACAAGCAACTACAGGAGACTATCTTAGGGGCTTTTGGTTAGGCAAAGACTTTTAAATAGGACACAGAAAGCATGAACCAAAAAAGAAACACAATTGATAAACTAAACTTCATCAATATTAAAAACTTCTGCTCATGAAAATACACCATTATGGTGGATATAAATTCCATGCATTTGCCAAAATCCATAGAATGATATATCACAGAGAGTACACTTTAATACATGCAAAAAAATCAACACCACCCACCAGAATGTCAGGGATGTGAGGATGGAAAGCAGACTGTGACCACTGAATCTAACTGTATCACAACGTGTGGCACCAACACACTGAAGGGGACAGGAAGACAGTGTTTTGACTGGGAACTGTAAGACCAACGATAAGAAGAAACCAAATATAAACATGGCACTCAAGGTGACAAATTTGTTTCTCAGAGCGGGGAGGTATATGGGAGAACAATTCTGAAACCGCTTTCTATGTACACTGGGGTGGGACAAATAAAAAAATGATGGTGATGGCAGTGAGAAGGTTACATATAAGCACTTTTCTAACAGACTACAGGTTACAGACACACAGGTGAACAGATACATAGTTACCTATCTGCTAAGAGGACTACAGGCAAGGACACCCCAGCAGCAACGCCCACACCTGCTGCCAGGTCCTCGTTTCTAAATCCCACTCTCCCATGAAACAAACCAACACTCCCCGGAGAACTGGGTGATTCTAGGGCTGAGGCGGGAACACAACAAGATGAAGGGAACCTGGCGTGGCTGGCAGTGCAAGAAAGGAAGGAAGCGCTCACAAGGGGCGGGGGGTGGGAGGGGTGGGCAACGACAAGGTCCTGGCGGCCAAGGCTGGAACGAGGTGGGCAGCCAAACCGACAGCGCGGAGCTGCGTCCCCACCAAAGTGCAGACGACACCCACGCGTCCATCCTCCTTACGGGAGTCCAGACCACACGGTGGGTCTTCCCCGGAGCTTCGCTCCCACCCCCGGGAGTGGCTGCCAAAGAGACGGGAGGACAGGACAAGGAGTGACACTCCTTGGCAGATCCCCCCTGAGCCAGGTGACCAGGCCGACAGCCCCCGTGATGTCGTGCGGACGTCAGGTGCCCTGATGTGATGTGACGAGAGCGCCACCTCACCTCTGGGGTCTTCTTTCCATAAACCACAACCCCTGTCTAACCAGGAGAAAACACAGCAGACAAAGCCCAAATCAGGGACACGCTACAAAACACCTGAGTGGTCCTCCCCCAAACCGTCAAGGTCACGAAAAAGTAGGCTCCCAGATGGGACCCCGGGCAGAAAGAGGACCCTGCGGCAGCGCGTGACCTGCAGCCTGGAGCGCGGGGAACAGTAACAGAGCACCGTCGCGTCTTAGTTTCCACAGTGTGCCTCGGTCTGCATCTTTCTGTTAACCTAAAACCACTCCAAAAGAGTTTAATTTTAAAAAGACGCTATTAATAATGCGAATAGGCAAGTCAAACAATGGGAGGTAATACTCTCTCTATATATATATACATATATCTGACATGGCTTGTATCCAGAAGACCTAGAGGAAATTACAACTTGATAATTTTTATAATTTTGTTTTATTCATTTATTTTTGGCTGCATTGGGTCTTCGTTGCTGCGCGTGGGCTTTCTCTAGTTGCGACGAGCGGGGGCTACTCTTCGTTGCGGTGTGCGGGCTTCTCATTGTGGTGGCTTCTCTTGAGAAGCACGGGCTCTAGGCTCGTGGGCTTCAGTAGTTATGGCACGCAGGCTCAGTACTTGTGGCACATGGTCTTAGCTGCTCCGCGGCATGTGGGATCTTCCCAGACCAGGGATCGAACCCGTGTCCCCTGCACTGGCAGGCGGGTTCTTTACCACTGTGCCACCAGGGAAGTCTCTACAACTTGATAATTTTTTAAAAAGGCAGGGGGCTTTCCTGGTGGTCCAGTGGTTAAGAATTCACCTTCCAATGCATGGGACGAGGGTTTGATCCCTGGTCGGGAAACTAAGATCCCACATGCTGCGGGGCAACTACTGAGCACATGGGCCACAACTAGAAAGCCCGCGTGCTGCAACTACAGAGCCCATGCGCCGTGGAGCCTGCGCACCACAACTAGAGAGAAGCCCACGTGCCACAGCAGAGGATCCCGCATGCTGCAAGGAAGATCCCATGTGCCGCAACTGAGACACAGCAAAAAATAAATTTAAAAAATAAATATTTAAAATTTTTAAATTAAAATTAAAAAAGGCAAAAAACTTGATCAGATGCTTCGAGCGGGTGTCGCAGATGGACGCATGCCCAGCATCACTGCTCAAGGAGATGCAGATGGAAGACACTAGTGAACACCGCCCTGCCCACCAGGCCCCACATGGCAGTCTCACGCCCACAGAACACAAGTGCAAGAATGTGCATGACCCCATCACCCAAGACAATGCCAGGAACCCACCCAAGTGCTGTCCCAGGTCAGGCATTGCGCTGCGGACAGCCAGGGCGCTCCACAGACCATGGAGTCTAACACAGCACCATGAAGGAACGTGGCAGAAATCAGAACCATGCCGGCTCCTGGGGAGCAGGGCTGGGAAGGCTTACGAGGTCTCAGTCAGCCCAGGGTAGCTTAGACAGACACTGTTCCTCACAGAACCGGGGCTGGGAGGCCCAAGGTCCAGGTGCCGGCAGATCCGGCCTCTGGTGAGGGCCCTTCCCGGCCTGCAGACGGCTGCCTTCTCGCGGTCCTCCTGGCCTTGCCTGGTGTGTGAGCAGGGAGGGGGGTCTCTGTCTTCCTCTTGTTATCAGGGCATCGATCCCCTCATGGGCCCCCCTCACCCTGATCACCCTCCCAAGGCCCCACCTGCAGACAACATCACGCTGGGGGTCAGGGCTTCGACACAAGGATTCGGGGGACACAACATGAGGGAACCTTTAGGGATGACAGAAATGTGCTCTATCATGCCAGTGTGCAAGTTACACAGCTATATACATTTGTCAAAACTGGGCAAACTGAACCTATGCACTTCACTTATGTGGATTATATGTAATCACGAACTGAATAAATGTAATTCATTTTCTATTTTGAAAATCTTATTGGAGCCAAAAATCTAAGGAATTGGGTCCAAAAATTTCTACAAGGTAATGAAAAGTTTGGTGAGAATTTAAATTGTACCATGTGTTCTCTCATGACTCTCATTTATCCTTAGAAGCACTGGTTTCAAGGAAGAAGTCACTGTGATTCTGAACAAGTAACACGTCAGGTAACGGCGGGGCGGGGTGGGGGGAATTATTCAGGTCCCTCAATAGCTGTTGGGTGCTGGGCCAGAAAACCACATAAACAGCTCTCCGCCCTGCCCGGGTGACCACGGCAGGGGGCAGACGCGATCTTCCAGCCTTGCGGGCAGCTGTGGCTGGAGAGGGGAGAGGGGCAGGTGGTCACCAACTTCACAGTTCACGTGTGCTGCCCTTTCCTTCTCCCACCGTCGAGCACAACGCAGGAGGGCCCGCGGCATCTCCAGAGCCTCCGTGCGGGTACCTCCAGTCAGCCTCTCGGCGAGCAAAGGGCGCCAACGGGCAATATGAGAACCGCGGACCTTCTCATTCTGCTGCTTCCCATTCTGAAAATCCCCCCACGCCCAAGGAAGATCAGCGCAGTGAACGATCTGACCGACGTAAAGGACACACTCCCGGCTGCTGACACTTACGGCTCGGGGGCCTCAGCAGTCCCGAGACGGAGCTGCCGGTTGGACCCTTGGAGCCCACGTGGGGGGGTCCTTGGCCTTGGGGACGCGGGATTCCCAGTGCTGTGGTGACCAGAGGTCGTTCTTCAACTGAATTACGCGACAAATCACAGCTTACCTCGAGGCACAGGGCGATGCAGGGAGGGGCGGGCGGCGCCCTAGGGGTGCGGGGGTGAGCACCCTCGAGCCGCGGCTGCTCCGCCTTTGGGAGGAGCGCCCAGGGCCAGGTGGGGTGAGCGTGTGCCAGGAAGAGAAACTTTCCGGAAAACGCAGGTTTGATTTCCTTCTAGGAGCTCCTGAGATCACCGTGGCCGTTCAGACTCTGGCTAACACAGCCTGCTGCGGAGGCACGGGGAGGAGCAGAGAAGCATGGGGCCCAGCTCTGCCCCCGGCCCCGCAGGGGCCCGGGGAACAGGACAAAAGGGCCACCCTGGCGCTCGGGCACCGAGGAGCTGCGTTGGCTCGAACGCTGCTCCTTGAAACGCTGTGATACGTGCGTCCGAACCCCGGTCTCAATTAAACCGAAACTAAAGCGTCAATTAAATCGTCCTGGTGACGACGCACACAGACCCTGCGGGACCAGACTGGACACTGTGGGGGCGATATCCACCTCAGGGCCCTCCCGCGCGGCCGGGGCGGCGGGGGCCGCGGAGGAGCAGGGCGGCCGGACCCCGCGCCCTCCGCCCCGCCCCGCCATTACCGCCTGGCCCAGGGTCTGCACCTCAAGGGTAGCCCCCCGCCCTCTCCCCGCGCGCCCGCCCCAGGCCCCTCACTCACCCCCGCGCCCTTCGGGTTCCTCTTTCGTACCCCCCGCCCTCCAGGCGGTCGCGCTGCGCCCCCTGGGACTTGTAGTCTCTCTGCAGCCCGAGCCTGGGTACCAGGGAGCGTGGCTCCCAGCCCAAAACTACACCTCCCGGCGGTCCACGCGAGAGCCCGCCCCCGCCAGGCCAGGGTTCTTGCGACATCTGCAAGCGCGCGCGGAGCGGCCTGGGAAGTGTAGTCTAGGGCCCTGAATAGGGCAGCGGAAGCGACGGGAGGCCTGTGCTGGCCGGGGGGACAGCTGTTCGTGGACGGTCGGCGAGGCTGCCCGTCGGTGTCCGGCGGGGCAGCGATTCCGGAGACAGGACGGGGTTACACAGCCGCGTCCCGGAGGGCGGCGCCGCGCTGCGAACAGGGTTCCGGCTGCGCCTCTGGAATCGGCCTGGGGGCCGCTCCCGGCGCCCGGGGGCCCGGCCCGCGCTCGGGCGCGGTGGACGGCGGGGCCGGGAAAAGGCCTCTGTGGGGTTTGCATCCTCTGTGCGCGGTTCCCCAGGAAGGACGCTGTTCCGGGACTGCCCCTCGCCCAGCTCTGCCACTTTCGGGACCTCAGGCGGAGCCCTTCTCACGGGGTGGGGTCGGGGTACGTGGAATCCCCGGGGCCTGGTCCGCACCAAGCCTGCCTCTGGGGAAGGCTGTGACGAGGAGCTTGGAGAAAAGAGAGTAAGACCGACCACCCCCCTTGTCGTGCTTTCTGTGCCGTTGGGCGGGGGCCGACTTTCCTTAAGGGCGGCTACTCGGAGAGCAGTGTCTGGGCCGGTGGGTCTGAGCAGAGAGGCCTGCATCGGAACGGGCACCCACGCCGAAGACTGCAGTCCGCATGGACGCCTGTAACACGGGCTTTTCGCGTCTCTCCCGAACCTCCTCATTCAGTATGAAGAGGGGTGCATGGGAAAGACGCGTGGTCTCGGGTTTCCTTGAACTGGTGAAGCTGGTCGGACTGGTGGTTCTTTCCACGAAAGCTCCCACCCCGTGGCCTTGTGGTGCCTCCCAGGCGCTGGGAATGCTCCCCAGTCAGTCCCAAAGACCATGGGGTCTAGGTGACAGGACTGTTGGCGTCCCAGGCTGGTTTGTCCCGACAGGATGACACCGGAGGACGTCCGCCTTGTGGCCTCAGGCTCTGCCTCTGCTCTGTGTCCTGCACGCTCCTCGCTTCTCAGCACGTGGGGTCGCATGTGTGCGATCAAAGGGCCAGGACCCCGTCGGCCTCGGTAGGGGCATCGGAGTGAGAGTCAGGGCAGGTTAGGGTCAGGGTCTACAGTTATACGGAGTGCTGTAGGACAGCTGGCACCAGCCTACGCCTGGCCCCTGGACTCCCAGTTGGCTTCTGCACCAGCTGGCCATCCGGCCCGAATTCCACGGGTTCTCTTCCCCTTGGGAGCCGCCTCAGGACGTTCATCCCAAGTTTGAATGTCCAGAGTTTTCAACAGAAATAAAGCATCTTGCAGTGTGAGGCTACTCTCCAAGTAAGAGAACTGGGGCAGAAGGACAAGTCGCATTTGTGTCTTCTCTTCCCAAGGACAGCGGTAGCTGAGTTTCTTTAGTTGGAGGCGGGGGCTTGATCCCAGGGTGGCCCTCGGGGGCCTCCGTGGGAGGAGCTGATGTTGGCTCCAAGAGCGATCTCGTGGCACTGCTTTTCTGTCTGTCAGAGATGTGGCGGGGGCGGGGGGGGCGCTCTAGGCGTGCAGGCTTCAGTAGTTGTGGCTCACGGGCTGTAGAGCGCAGGCTCAGTAGTTGTGGCACACCGGCTTAGTTGCTCCGCAGCATGTGGGATCTTCCTTGACCAGGACTCGACCCGTGTCCTATGCATTGGCAGGTGGATTCTTAACCACTGCGCCACCAGGGAAGCCCAATGGTGTGACTCTTGATGGCAATGGTAAAGTCTCTCAAGGACAAAATTGTGCCTGGGAATGTGACAGCTCTCGTGGGCCCCTGCGGTCGGGAGGAACCTGCACGGTTCCTGCACTGGGATGTTTGAGAAACATCCTTGGGCAGCAGAGCAGCATCTCTGCCACCGGGGGCCCCGCACCCGCCTGCCGTGCCTGTTGCAGAATCATTGCTCCGTCGGACTTTGGTCCACTTCCACTTTCTTGGTGGTTTTCTGAAGGCAGGGGAAACAGTGTTCTTCGCCGCCTGCTGCAGCCCCACGTGGCCCTAAGGTCAGGCCATCCGCTAATAACAGATCATTTACTATCAAGGGGTGACCTTCTCACTCCAGCGATTCTCAGTCCTGTCAAATGTGGGTTTCCTGAAAATGCTGCCAAAGAAGCCTGCAGACGGACAAAGCACGTGCATTCTCGACTGACTCCCTGCAGAGTCCCCATCGGTGGCTGGAGTCTGGGTCAGGGTGGGCGTGCAGTGGGGAGGAGGCTTGGTTCGGATCGGGTGAGGGTCCCCAGGCCGGTGGCACAGCAAGGCGAGGGATCTGAGGCATCTTTTCGTGGGATCCATTGAAAGCCTCGTGTTTACATTTTTTCCCCCTAAAGTTTCTGAAATGAACAATAAAATTATCTGCAACTTTTATCTTTCCTTGTAGGAGTTTCTTGAAGGCTCATGTAACCCGCTGTGCCCTCGACACCTCTGCTTGGAAGTCTCATCCATACTTCACACCCGTGGGCCCACAGGGAACCCCCATCTCACTAAGCTGAGGAAGTTTCTTCTACTTCTTACTTGGTTTTTCTGTTTGTTTGGTTTTGGTTTTGTTTTTAACCGGGAATGGATGTTGGGTTTTGTCAAAAGCTTTTTTAAAAATCGACTGAGAGGGCTTCCCTGGTGGCGCAGTGGTTGAGAGTCCGCCTGCCGATGCAGGGGACACGGGTTCGTGCCCCGGTCCGGGAAGATCCCACATGCTGCAGAGCGGCTCGGCCGGTGAGCCATGGCCGCTGAGCCTGCGCGTCCGGAGCCTGTGCTCCGCAACGGGAGAGGCCAAAACAGTGAGAGGCCCGCGTACCGAAAAAAAAAAAAAAAAAAAAAAAATCTATTGAGAAGCGCCTGTTCATGTGGTGAATTACATTGATTCTCTAATGTTAAACCAACCTTATGTTCCATCTGGTCATGATATGTTACCCTTTCTATATATTGCTGTGTCAATTTGCTAAGGTTCTCCAAGTTAAGAATTAATTTGCTAAGAATTTTTGCATCTGTGTTGCAAGGGACATCGGCCTGTGGTTTTCCTGTAAGGCCTTTGTTTGTTATCAGGGTCACGTTGGCCTCATAGAAGGGTCAGGGTTAGCCTCCGCTTGAATTTTCCGGACCAAGTAGCAGAGAATTGGTCTCGACTCTTCCTTAAATGTGTGGTAGACTTTTTACCAGTGAAGCCATCTGGGCCTGGAATTCTCTTTGTGAGAAGGTTTTTAACCATCATTTCAATTTCTTTAGTGAAGTTATCTACTTATGTCTGAGCAGGCTTTGGCGATCTTCGGCTGGTTGCCAGATGTGAACTGACCTTGGTGCTGGGCATTTTGTATTCCATCAGTATTTGAGCTTTGTTCTAGGATGCGCAAAAGTTACTTGGAAAGAGTTTGACCCTTTTGGATCTTTCTTTTGAGCTTTGTGAGGAGATTCTGGGCAGCATTCACTGTTCCTCACTCCTGAGGCCAGCCCTTCTGAGTGCCCTCGCAGCCCCCGCGGGTCCGAGTGTGCACGTGTGCTCGCCTGCGCCTGCCCACCCTGCCTGCCCCTCTGCGGCTCCGTCCTGGGCACTCCAGCCGCACTGGGCCCTCTGGGCCATCAGCTCCATCTCCTGATTCGGGGGGTCCTGGGCCCCGCATCTTGGGGGTCACTGTCCTCGGTCACCCGATGTCCAATACCTTGAGGGCGGTCGTCTCCTGGATCTTGCCTGGGTTTTAGCTGGTTGGGGGTGGGGTGATCGGCCCAGTGGCGCCATCTGGCTACGAGCAGAAGTCTGTTTCTGTTTTTGTTTTTATCTCCAGCTCCACACTTTCCTTCCAAACTCCCAGTTCCTGCTCCTCAGAGAAAACAGCCCTCTTGAGAGTGTGTTGTGGTTCCCCGCCTCCCCAGCAATACACGGGAAAGTTATGCTGGCTTCCTGGGTCAGCTTCCAGTGTTAGCTGTCAGGTGTTTGCTCTGGGCAGCGCCGTGTGGGACTCGCCCCCAGCGGCCGCCCCGCACAGGCCTGTCTCCCGGCAGTGGCATCCAGGGCCATGTCGTCAGTGGTGTGGAGTGTCAGGGCTCAGCCAGCTCCCTGAGTGCCAGCCCCTGCTCTGTAAGGCGGGCAGGGGGTTACCTGGCCCCCTCCAAGGGCAGGGAGAGGCCTGGCAAGGCCTGGGGAGCAGTGGGGGGCGGGGGCGGGACACGTCATGGACGTGAGGAAGAGTCTGTGTCAGGTGAGTGGCTGCTGGGCGGTGGCCCCGTATGGTCCAGACGAGGCTGAGAGAGCTGTCCTGGGGCCTTCTGAGGATCCCCAAGAGTTGCACAGTCCCAGTTCCATCAGGTTGGTGGGGAGTATGAGGACGTCTCTTAGGAGCCCATCCGGTTGAAGAATTTCCAGGCTAAGATGGAAAATAAATTTACTGTCTTAAGGACCACAGAAATGCCAAATCCCTTAGAGCAGTCCCGTGGGGGGAGGCCCCCTGCAGGCCACAGGGAGCAACGTGGGAAGCGGGCCGGCTGCCAGCAAAACCCGCCAGGGTCAGCGCCTGGATTGAGTCAGCGTCCCGCAGAAGTCTCTGCGGTCGAGGTTTCCGCCTGGGCCTGTGTGCAGACTTTCCCTGAGTGGGAATTTCCCAGCTGAGGGTGGGGGGTTGATTCACTGTGGGGAGGGCTAGGAGAAACAAAAAGTCAGGCGCTAATATTTTTGTGTGTTGAAGTGGAATCAGTACATGTTTCGTGTTTGTCGTGCATCTCC